CAGCCGCTGCGCCAGGCCCCCGGCGTCCAGGCCGTCGGGCGCGCTCGGCCGGGCGCTGGCCACACAGTACGTGCCAGCGCCGCCGCCGCCCTCCAGCTGCACCAGCTGCAACTCCTGCCCCGTGCAGAAGGCGCGGATCTGGCACAGGTACGTCATGACGATGAGCTTGTCGGGCACCGACAACAGCACCATGTCCGCCGGCTCCAGCAGCCGCGACACGCCCAGGGCCGCGAAGCCATCGAAGGCCTAGGAACGGTGGCCTGGGGATCAGCGGCGGCGGCGGGCGTTACCCAGCGACGCTGCGGCCCCTCCCTGGGCCGCCCGAGGAGTCCCGGCGAGCGGCACGCCGGGGTTGGCCTAGCAACGCCTTCCCCCTTCTATTGGGGGAGATCTAGCAGCAGGGCCCGCCCCCGCGTCACCCAGCAACTGCACACCAAAGAGTGGTTTCGGAAAAACCATCTGGTGGAAATATGCTTTAAAATAAAACTAAGCTAAACTACGGGAAACGAACAATTTAAAGCCCAAGAGAGTAAAAAATGGCAGAACTTCCAAAGTCCAGGGCTGGGGCCCTGCAGCCCATAGATTCCTCTCCTAAAGACGGACCGGCCCTAAATCTTGGTCCTACCGCCTGGCTCTAGAACCTTTCCCTCCAGGCATTGCTCCGTCCCCATCTCACCTGCTTGTTGTTCTGTTTGATGTTGAGTGGATCCAGGGAGGCGTAGTCACTGCCGAGCGAGAGAGGGGATTGGTCAAGGCTGGCCTCACACTGCCCTCCCCGGAGGCTCCCTCATTCATCCCCCCCACCCCTGACAGCTCACATCTTGTCTGGGTAGAATCGGTGCAGGATGGCACAGAAGGCCAAGCCGTTGCGCCACGATGTAGTGAAGTTGGTGACTCGGACGCCACGGTAGCCAGCGGTGACTTCCTGGCACCACTCCAGCAGGGATTGACTGGAGCTGACGGGGGCAGGTGGTGCCTAGGGACACGAGGATGGGCTCAGGGAATGTGAACATAGGACAGTACCCTCTGCCCCTCGGGCAGAAAATAGCCCCAGCTCTAGGTTTGCAGGGGTCACCAGACACCATTGGCCAGAGCCTTGGGACCAGGCAAAAGGGTTTCCTGCCCTGTGGTTATCTACCAAGGTCACCTAAAAGGTCAGTGGCCCCCAGGCAAGATCAGAGGTCACCAGCAGCCACACCTCAAGGTCAGCCCAGAAAATCAGCTTAGGGGTGTCCGGCTCCATGCAGCCCAGGGAAGACAAGATGGGGGAGCCAGGGCATCCTGAGAGAGGAGAGGGTGAGGGGAGCTCCTTGAAGCTGAGCCCCTGTCCCACCACACCCCAGTCGACCAGGTGGGTCCATGCAGAGCCGCCGTTAGCTCAGCCCCAGGTTAGTGGGAAGCAGCAGACTGGGCCCTCGGCGGCCCCCATCCCTACCTGGCTGCCTGGCAGCCTCCCGTCCTCTTCAGGCTCCTCTGGGGAAGAGGCCCCCGAGGGCTTGAGCACCCCGGCCCCTGCCCGGCTGGCTACCTGTGCCTCAGTCAGGCTGGCCTCTGGGAGGTTTCCCTCAGCTTCTTTTCCCTTCTCAGTCCCTGAGACCCCAGCTTCTGCTTCCTGGGCCTCCAAAACACTGGATTTGTTCTCTGGAGGCCCTAAACCCTCCATCTCTGCTTCTGGGGCCCCCCAAGCCCCAGTCTTGGCCTCTGAAACCCCCAAAACCCCAGCTTCCTCCTCCTGGACCCTCAAAACTGTAGTCTCTGCCTCTGCCTCTACTCCCTGGGGCCCTAAAACTCCATGCTTAGTGACGGAGTCCTGTAAAAGCTCGTATTTGAGGGTCCCCCCGAGCCCAGTCTCTGCCTCCTGGACACCCAAAGTCTTAGCCTTCACCTTCTCAGCCTCTAACACTGTAGTTTCTGTCTGTTCAGTCCCCAGGCCTTCAGCCTCTGCCATTCCAACCTCTGGCCCTAAAACCGCCACCTCTGTCTCCTGGGCTCCTGCTATGTCATTCTCTATCCTTGGGACCCCTGAACCCCCAGCTGCTAGCTCCTGGGTCCCCAGTATCTCAGCTGCTGCTGTCTCAGTCTTGAATCCTGGGACCCCTGAACTGCCTACCTCTGTTTCCTGGGTCCCTGCTATCTCAGATTTTATCCCTGAACCCCCCACTTTTGTCTCTTGGGTCCCCAATATCTCAGCCTCTGCCCTCCCAGCCTCTATCTCTGGCATCCTGGAACCTCCCATCTCTGTCTCCTGGGCCCCCCATATTTCAGATTCTGCTGTCTCAGGCTCTATCCTCAGTATCCCTGAACCACCAGCTATCTCCTGGGTCCCCAATATCTCAGTCTCTGTCATCCTAGTCTTTGTCCCCAGAAATCCTGAATCCCCAACCTCTGTTTTCTGGGTCCCCAGTTCCTCAGACTCTGCCATTCCAGCAGCCTCTGAGTCCAGGACCCCTGATCCCATGGTCTCTGTCTCCTGGGCCCCCAATACCTCAGCTTCTGTTGTCCCTGTCTTTATCTCTGGGAACCCTGATCCCCCCATTTCTGTCTCCTGAATCCCCAGTACCTCTGACTCTGTTCCCAGGACCCTCAAATCCCCAGCCTCTGCCTCCCAGAACCCCAGATCCCTAGACATTACACCCTGGTCAGCTGCTGGTGGGGCCCCCTGGTGCCTGCTCACCTGGGGCCTGACGCTTGCTGTTCCAACAGAGGGACCCCGCTCCGGGCCTGTCCCCCCAACACCAGGGGCTCTGCCTCTCAGCGCTGCACCCTCTCTCTCCTGGCCTGCGGCAGCCCTGGCCCCCTTAAGGTCACCAAGATGCCTGGTGTGCCCTGCAGGCTCTGCTGGGGGTGTGCTCAGGATCGCGGGAGGCTCATCCCTGGTCCTGACCCCTGTCCTCCCCTGAGAGCCCCTTGGAGGAGCCTCGGGAGTCTCCTTGAATCTTGCCTCAGTCATCACCCCTATAGCCTCTGGTCCCTTAGTGTCCACATGTCCCACCTTTGACCTCTGCTCAGCATCCACTTGACTCACTTCTGAACTCTCTTCAGCCTTCCCTGCTCTGATGTCTGACCTCTTAGTGTTCACCTCTCTGACTCCTGACTCATGCTCAGTGTCCACCCCTCTAGCCCCTGGCCTGTCCCCAGGGCTCCCCTCCTCCACCTTGGGTTTCTGCCCTACCAAAGAGTCTCTGGAGTCTCCATCCTCAGTGCCTCGGCCCAGCCTGGCTCCCTGAGCCTCTGTCCCTTCCTGAGGGCTTTCCTGGGCCTCGGTCTCCCCAGAAGAACCCACTCCTGCTAGGGGAGCCCCTGAGGCTTTGGGAGCCTCATCTTCCCCTTGGGCGCCTGGGGGCCAAGGGGCATCAGAGCCTTTCCGGAGCCGAGGCGCTGGGGTGGGGGCCACATCCTGGCCTGGCTGCCTTGAGGACCTGAGGAGAGAGCAGGAGAAAGCATTGGGGAACCCTGTGGCTCCCCACTGTCAGCCCCATCCCCACCCTTCAGATTGCTAGGGCACTGGAAAGGCAGGTTGGCAGGGGAATGCAGCTTTCTAACAGTGGGGCAGGGGATGGAGGTGGGGCTCATTCCAAAGCTCACCTCTTCTCTGGTGGGATTCCCGGGGGCCTGGGGGACTTGAGCCCCACCTGGCCCCCTGCTACAGTAGCTGGTTCTGACCCCTGGCCCCGGGAGGCCCTGGCTGGGGGCGCAGGGGCACTCACAGGGGCTGGGCTGGTATCCTCCGCACTAGAAGGGCTGGCAGCTGGGGAGGAAGGAAGGGTGGGGCACTGAGGCCTGGGCCCTGAAACTGGAGGTCCGTTCCCTCCCCAGCCCCAAACCCAGCCTGGGCCTCACCTGCCTGCCGGGGTTGTACCCGGCCCTCCTCCTCCTCCTCACGAAGTGTCTTCAGCTCCCGAGATGGGTCTGGGGTGGGCATGGGGGGCAGGTCAGCCCAGGGGAGGGCCCTGCAGGTCTGACCCCTTCCCCCCAACCAGAGTCTTAGGCCTACCTGGGAAACGCCCCAGCCTCAGGGCACCGCCCCGGCCTGCGAGAAGAGACAGGCCCTCCGATACAGAGAAAGAGAGAGAGAGAACCACAAGGACAGACAGAAACAAAGCCTTAACAAGCCAAAGGGAGAGATGAGGAAGCTAGTGGCTGAGCACCAGGGTGGGTGGTGAGGACTGGTGAGACTGGACTGCATCTCCCCGCTGTGCTTTTGGCCCAGCCAGCTCAGGGCAGGTACCGACCTGGGCAGGCACCCACTTGAGGCTGAGGAGAGGGCCTGAGGGACTCAGCTAAGGACCCAGGCCACCATGGGACCAGGAGCCAAGTTTGGACAGTCAGAGCTGCTGGGCAGGTTGGAACTGCCTGGGCCGGAGCGAGCCCCCAAACTGGGCATGCGCACGCAGGCCTACCCACTCCCCCCTCCTCCCTGCAGGGCGAGTGGCTCCCGCCCAGCTTATCCCCCACCCTCCCTAGGTCTTGGTGATCTCATCCCTGGCAGGCTGTGAGCCCACCTGGCTGGGGGACACGAGCCCGTGCCTCCGGGGTCCCCGGGCCATTAGCCTCCTCCTCGTCACTCTCAGCAAAGTCGTCCAGGTTGCCCACATCACTCGGCTTCACGCTCATGAGGCTCGCGAGACTCTGCATGTCATCGTCCCTGGGGAGGTCAGAGGTCAGGGGTGAGGGCTGGGGTCAGGGGTTGCAGACCAAGGCCAAGGAAGGAGGGTGGGCACTCACGTGGCGCGGCCCTCCCGCAGCAGAACCCCGGAGAGCGTGAGGCTCAGCTCGGCTTGCACCACCTTCACCGACTTGGGCTTCAGCCGCAGCCGCAGGGCAACTGGGGCCGGCACGGGCCCCACGTGGTGGGCCAGGTCCACCTCGGCGGTGGCCAGCACCTTCCGCTGCCCCTTGGACTCCTGTGGGCCAGGGAGAGGGGCCGGGGGCAGGGGCATCAGTGCTGCCCCAGAGTCCCCAGGAGCCCAGCCCCAGCCTGCCAGGCCACTCACATTCTCAATAACAAATGTCCATTCTTTGGCCTCGTACTGGTCCACGTGAGGGTCCTGGGAAAAGGACACTGGTGAGTACTGGGGCTCTGGGGTGAGGGCCGTGCTGTCTCTCCTACTGCACGTGGAAGGTATGTATGCATGCTGCCCCCTCCAAGGAGACCTCCTGGCCTACCCCCACCCCCGTCTTGGTTCTTGGTCTCACCCCTCTGTTCTCTCCTATTTGGATGGGCAACCCACTGGGGATCCCCCATGGCTGTCTGGGCTGTCATTGCCCCCCCCCCCATTCCCACCTATGCAGAAGGGCTAGGGACTCACCCTGTAGAGGGTCACAGAGATGTCCACGTTCTCCGGCACCATCCACACCACGGTGCCCCGGTAAGGGTTCTGGATGCCTGGCTGCCAGCTGTGGGCCTGCAGTGAGCGGTCTGAGGCCTCCCCTGACTCACAACTCTCCCCTCGCCCCCTGCCCTTGGCTCTACACTCAACCTCATCTTTCTCTCCCTTCTGTGGATTCCGATCCAAACCTGAACCTGACTCCACTCCCCCATCAGTCCTCACTCACCCACTTTCCCTGCACCCTCTGCTGGCCTCACCCCCAACCTGGACCCCCCCAGTTGACAACCTCCCCCACCTTGGAGCAGATGCGTCGGTTCCGCCGGGTCCATACCACCACCAGCTTATCCGGTTGCCTGGGGGTGGGGAGAGGGGGGTCTACTCAGTCAGGCCCACCCACCCAGCCTCTCCATCTCCTCCAGGGTCTTCCTTCTGCCCACATCCCCCTCCCCCAGGAGAGGGCCTGGACAGCTCCTTATCTGGAGCCACCCAGAGCAGGGTGAGGCTGCTCAGGCAGGGTGGGGCCCCGGGCAGAAGGGCAAAGGCCCCATGTGGGGCAGGGATTATGAAGACAGACAGTGAGACAGACAGAGGCGTACAGACAGACAGGCACACACAGAGACAGAAAGATACACATAAACCCAGCAAGGACCCTGCAAGAGACACACAGACTCAGAGACACCGAGAGAGACAGACTCGAAGTAAAACAAAGCCGTTCACTCACAAATATTTGGGGAGTGCGTACTGTAAACCCAGACCAGTTTAGAAGGCAGAGCAGAGCAAAGGAGAAGCGAGACCCTTCAGGGGCTGAGGACAACAGAGGCTGGGGAAGAGTGCCAGTCAAGAAGAAAAATAAATTAACAAGCTGACTTCAGGGAGATGGGAGAGAGCCACTGGGGTCTCCTTGAGGTTGGGGTGTCTGAGTAGAGGCTGTGCGAGGGTCTGGAGAAGGAGGGCTCAAGGAAGAAGGAATGGCAAGTGCAAAGAGGTTGGGGGGAGGCTCGGGGTCAGAGTAAGGGGCAGAGGGCGGGAGGTGGTCAGAGAGGCAGAGGGTCAGCTTGTCATTAGACACCCACCCAGGGCCCAGGGGCCCTGAGAATCAGCCATGCTCCCCACCTCTCAAACCCCGAGCCCTGGACTCTAGCTTTGCAGGGCCCCTGACTCCCACAAGGGGCATCAAGGAAGACTCCAGGCTGAACTGCGTACGCCAGGGCAGACTCAGAGGAGAGGCAGACTTGTGAAGAGACAGATAACACAAGAGCGAAGAGTTGCCTGGGCAGGGCCCAGCCCCACAGAACTGACACGTGGCTGGGCCTGGGAGGGAGAAGGCCCTCTTGGATTAGAGGGTCCAACTGCTGCCCAGGAGGGTAGGGATGGTTGAGGGGACCATGAGGCCGAGGACAGTACAAGAGGCTTTCTTGCCTGTACCTAGCCCCATGCCAGGACACTTAGGTCCACCCACCTCACTGCCCCCCTGCAGGCTGAGCCAGGATAAATGGCTCTCCAGGAAACCCCTGAGGAGGCTGAGGCCCAGAGAGGTTGGGAGCCAGGCAAGGTCACAAAGGTCAGCCCAGAGCCGTCCGGCCTGCAGCCAAGCTCCCCTTCCCAACCCCAGACTGCCTGTGATGGCTGAGCCAGGGTAGCCATGGGGCCTTCCCAGAAAGGGGAAGCAGACAAGGGGTGCCTAGAGAGGGCGGGGCCTGGCTAGGCAGCCTGACTCAGGCTGGGCACTCCCTCCTGGGGAGCCAAGACCTGGGCAGGGGCAGCTTCCTAGCCTGGGCTCCCGGCTAAGAAGCCCAGGAGGCCCTGCCCACCCCTGTGACTCAGAAGCACTGACACTGCCCGCACCCCAGGCCTGCTCTCTGGGACCGTGCCCAGCGTCCCCCTGGCCTCACCCAGGATGCTGGGGCAGAAGGCCGAAGCCAGAGGCCAGAGTTCAAGTCCTAGCCCTGTGCTGTGTTACCTTAGCCAGCCCCTGGTCTTCCCTGGGCCTCACCAGATGCAGTGAACGGCCCTCTGGCTGGCGCAGTCAAAACCGGGGATATGGCTGCTGCCCAGGGGACCCTAGCCTCCTGCTCACTCCCCTCCCTTTGGACCCCATGATCCCTTCCTGCCCCCGCAGCTCTTCCTCTTGGGAGCCTAAATTTAGCCCCGCCTGGAGGGTGAGGCCCCCACAGCTGTGCCCTAATCCAGCCAAGGGAAGCTGACACCAGCGAACACGTATATTTAGGGTGTGACGCAGGGGTCCCGGCAGCTGCGGGTGGGAGCATGTGAACAAGATGCCCCCGGGGCCCTGAGGCAGTCGGGGCCAGGTCCTGCACTCTCACTCACGTATCTCCCCCGACCGGGCCACCTCGCCCTCCCCAAGCCCTCTCCTCCCAGACTCACAGCCTTCTAGGCCCTCAGGCCCCTTTAAGCCCAATCCCTGCCTCCCTCCTCATCCCTCCCGGTGCTCAGTTTCCCCTTTTAAGGACATTGTGGAGACATCCAGCCTCCCAGCACCCACTGTGGCTGAAGTGTGTGTGTGGGTTCCTCTGGCCCAACAAGTGGGCAGGGGAGGAGGGGGCAACATCCTTGTTCTGAGCGGTCCATGGGGGTTTCTGCCACAACCAGGCCACCCGCAGACCTCAGAATTTGCTCCCTTTTCTGATGTTACCCTGAACCATCCCTCTGGTCACAAAAATAGGAGGCCTCCCTTCCCCCAGGGCTGAGCCCCATGAGGAAGGTGTGAGCACGGACAGATGCTCAGGCCTGCAAGTTCTGACTTCCACTCCCCAAAAGCGACCCACACCCCCAACTCCAGGGGTCCCACAAGCTGCAAAGGCATTTTTCAGTCTCTGTGTTTGGGACACCAGGGCCCAAGGTGGGGGCAAGGGGCCACCGGGCTGGGGGCAGGGCTCTCTCGGGCTCCAGCGGCCTCATGGGGTCCCGGCGAGTCTGCGGAGGCCCCCGGGCCTCCCTGCCACTCACCATTTCTTGGTGCACTCCACCACCAGCTCGTGGTAACAGGCCACAAACTGGAACTTGGCGGCCCGCTTGCCCACGCGCTGCAGGCGCTTCCACACCGAGGTCATGGCCCCCGCCGCCCCCGCCGCCGGCTTTTCAGACTTGGGATTCCCGCTGGCCCGCGACCGCTGGCCGGGCCTGGGTCCCCATGGCCTCCCGGGCTGCTCTCCGCGCTGCCCGCCCCGTCCGTCGGAGATGTCCGAGGCTCGGACCCGGGGCCGATCACCCTGCTGCCCCCGCTGGGGCCCGCCGGGTGGTCCCGCTGAGTCCGCCGGGTCGTCCGGGGCGCGTCGGGTCGCGGGAGCGCTGAGCCGCGAGCGCGCCGTTTCCTGGAGCCGCACCCCCGTCGGAAGGCGGG